CGCTGCCCCCTCAGCAACTTTCGAAGGTGGCGACAGCTTCACATTTTGCAGCGCCCCCAGTGGGATGGCAAGATGTGGTCTAGGCCCGCGTAAGACGTCACCGCGGCGTTGCACCCCCCGCACCCCCCCCGGCGCAGCCCTCGAACATTGTGGCCGTCTTACACTTCGCAGCCCCCCTGGGACGGCGAGGTCTAGATTGGGTCCGCATAAGACGTCATTGCGCTGGCTCCCCAAGCAGCCTTACATCACACGTCGCAGCCCCCCACACACGGATTCGGATGGCGAGGTCTAGTATGAAAACGCGTGGGACGTCATTGCGTTGCCCCCAGGCAGCTTTCGAAGGTGGCGACAGTTTCACGCTCCGCAGTCCCCCGCGGATGGCGAGGCCTAGTCTGAGTCCGCGTACGACATCATTGTGATGCCCCCCCAGAAAATTTCGAATGTGGCGAAAACGTCACATCTCTAATGGCGGGGGCTAATCTGAATCCGCGTGGAACGTCGCTATGCTGCCCTTTTTCACAGCAGCCTTCGAAGTCAGTGGTTCCACCTTCTGCAACCCCCAACGGTGGCGACGTCTAATCTGACTCCGCTTGGGACGTCATTGTTTTGCCCCCCCCCAGCAGCTTTCGAAGCGGTGGCAGTTTCACGCTTCGCAAACCTTCAGGGATGGCGAGGTTTAGTCTGAGCCCGCGTAAGACGTCATTGTGCTGGCCCCCAAGCAGCCGTCGACAATGATGACAGCTTCGCATTTCGCATCCCATTGGGATGACGAGGTACGCAGGTGGGGGGAAGGCAGAAAGTAGTGAACAAGTGGCGGGAGAAGAGAGGAGCAAGAGGTAGTAATTATCAAAATAATGAGATTAAGAAGGAAAGAGGAGAGAGCAGGAATGAGGCGGGAAGAGAAAGGCTAGAGACCGCGATGCTCCATCGAAACAAGCACCCAACCGGCCGGCAAGAATCATAGATAGCTCACATGTTGAATTCGATGGGTTCGGGCCCCCCGCCATTTTCCAGAGTTTGGGCCCCGAAGTGGGGGTTGTACGCAGGTGTTTTAGTGTACACAGGCGCTGTTGTGATCTCAGGCGCCAAGCGCTGTTTTGCACACGGCTGTTGTGGCCGCGCATGCATCGTGTTGTCCATGGGTTTCGTTGTGCACGCAAAGTTCTTACGTTCATAAGTGCTTTACATCATTATTGGTGTGAGCACATGCGCTGTGATGTATGCTGGCGCTGTGATGCACACATACATGCATCTACATCACCGTACGTGGTGTGCTCGCGCATTGTGGTGTACACGCGCTTCTTGGGCGCGCGCAGGCGCAACGTCCGCTCCTCGTGGGTACTGCCAGCAATCGCCTACGGTGCGCCGACTCATTCCTAGCAGGTCCCAACCTACATGCTAATTGGAGCTTTCCTTACGTAGTCCTATCTATTCACAGACGCAAGCGCACTGGTGCTCACAGGCACGTGGCCTCGCTCGCGGGTCAGTTCGGCGACTCTGGGCACGCCGCGGCGATCGCATCGCATAGCGCGGTGCTCGCGGGCATGCTGCGGCGTTCCCGGCGCACCCTCGCCGTGACGTGATCAGCGCTTAGTTCCACCCCCCCGCTGCCGATCACGCACGGTGTCGCCTGGCAGAATTACCCTGTGACGTACCCAACCCATTTACATTAAGTGACAAGAAGAGTTGGCCCAAACTTGCCAGGACAATGACAGTGCAGGCGCCGTTGTATGTTGTGTAAGCTACGTGGGATACGCGCACGCGGCATGACAGAAGGATGAGGAGCGACGGCCCAGACTTGAAGATGGGGGTGGGAACGAAAAGCAGGAGAAGGACGCGAGGGGAGTCGAACAGCAAGCGCGGCAGCAGAAGACAGAAGGTGACACGGGGGGGTGGACGACGACGAATGCGACGGGAATAGACAGGAGACTGTTGTTTTGGCTGGTAGTACGCGAAAGATGCAGCGTTGCTTGCGCCATTGTATGAACCTGCTGGTAGCTAGCGCAAGAAGCGATCGAAGCCTAACTCGCCCGCCAGGTTCTCTGCCTCCTTCCTGTACCTTTCACTGCGGGAGCTAAACGTTCGAAGGCGCGCCGCCAGGTCTGCGGGCGGCCCGCGGGCCAGGAAATCCAGGCTGGGGTCGCGCATCACCAGGAGGTTGTCCACGGTCGTCGCCCTCGACAACACCACGTAGAGATGCTGTTAGAGGACGTTGCTTTTCTTGTCATGCGTGCACCCAGCGTCGACAATGACACCGCGGTGCATGACGCGGCCCCGGCAGGCCATGGGCGCCAGAACTTCGGTGTGGAAGATGGCCAGGCCGGCGCGCGTGACATTGTGCTTCCAGAAGTCAAAGATGCTCGAACCCTGCGGCCCGATGAAGACGAGTCGCGCCGCGTCCGCGGCGTGGACGTCGAGTTCCGGGAGGTTTTTGCCGCAGGGGCTGGCCGTGCATTTGTCCATGCGCGCCCACACGCCGCGCGACAGGTGCCGCAGGTACGTTGGCCGTCTCTCGGTCTTCGCTGCCTCCACCTCGTCCTCATGATTCGGGTTAGCCGCACGGACGGCGAGGTCTGCGTGGCACGTCGCTCCGCTGACTCCCCAGCAGCCGTCGAAAGTGGCGACGGTTTCGAAAATCGCAGCCCCAGGGGGGTGGCGAGGGCGAATCTGAAAGAGTGTAGCACGCCCCATTGGAACCCCCAGTAGCCCTCGAAGGTGGCGACAGCGTCGCAGATCGCAGCCCTACCGGGATGGCGAGGTCAAGTCTGAGTCTGTGTAGCAGGTGTTTCTGGTGGACCCCCCAGCAGCCTTCGAAAGCGGACAGTTCCGCAGATCGCAGCTCCAGGGGGGTGGCGAAGTCGATTCTGAATATGCGAAGCACGTCACTCTGTGAATCCCCCAGCGGCCCCCGAAAGTGGCGACACTTTCGCATATCGCGGCCCCACATGGATGGCGAAGTCCAGTTTGAATCTGCATGACACGTCATTCGGCCGAACCCCCGAGCAAACTCGGAAATGGCGACGGTCTCGCAAGTTGCAGCCCCAAGGGGATGGCGAGGTCTAGTATGAATCCGCGTGGCACGTCACCCGGCTGGTCCCCAGCAGCCGTCGAAACTGGCGACGGTTTCGCAAATTGCAGCCCCAAGGGGATGGCGAGGTCGAATCTAAATTTGCGGAGCACGTCACCCCACTGTATCCCACAGTGGCCTTCGAATGTGGTGGCACGCTTGCGCATCGCAGCCAAGCAGGGATGGTTAGGTCGAATATGGATGTGCGTAACACGTCGACACGTTGGACTCCCCAACAGCCCCCGACAACGGCGACCGCTGCGCAGATCGCTGCTTCACACGGATGGCGAGGTCGAGTCGGAACATGCGTAGGACGTCGCTCCGCTGGACCTCAGCAGTTTTCGAAACCGGCGACATTTGTGCAGATAGCAACGACACAGGAATGGCGAGTTCGAGTCTGAATATGCGAAGCACGTCATTCCGCTGGACCCCCCAGCAACCCTCGAAAGTGGCGACAGCTCCGCGCATCGCAGCCCCCCACAGAACACCCAGGCAGGACGGCGAGACAGGAGGCAGGGTAGCACGCAGGAGCAGCAGGAGGCAGGAAAGAAGAGGAAGGGGGAAGGCGGGAAAAGGAAAGTGGATACCACAGCGTTATATTCAAAACGATTGCCCATCGCAGGAGGGTTGGGAGAAAAAACGGGTCCCAGGCCACGCGCCAAAGGTCGTTTTGCATACGAAGGGTAGTTCTTGCGCGTAGCCGATGTAGTCTCCCCGATTCTTCCCCTCTCGCTAGCCCCCCCCCCTTCCCCGCCCCTCCGTCGGAGGGTCCCCGCTGGTCGACATGGCGGCTCCCCACTTGGGGATCGAGATTATCGGGCGTGTTTTGTTAGGTCCCAGTCGGTTCTCTCTCTCCTCCTCCCCCTCCTCCTCCTCCTCCTCCTCCTCCTCCTCCTCCTCCTCCTCCTCCTCCTCCTCCTCCCCCTCCTCCTCCTCCCCCTCCTCCCCCTCCTCCCCCTCCCCCTCCTCCCCCTCCTCCTCCAGCCTTGTGGTGGCTTAAGTCGGCTGCGCGTCAGGATACAGTTTCGTCCGGCATCGCTGCAAGCCCCCGGCGGTTTCCCAGCCTCGGGAGGCTGTCCAGCAGCTGCGCCTAGTGGAGAGCGCTCGCGGGTGCCTCTGCCCGAGGCGGGGGGCGTGGCCCGAAAACTGCCCCCACGACTCATCTTAAGTCGGGCCCGTCCCTCTACAGGAGGGACGTTTCCAAAATAAGCAAAAAAAAGTCTGGGGACGATTGTTTGACCATTCGTTGGCCATTTTGGAGTACTGTTTGACCATTTTTTTTTCGTCCAACATCCCCCTGTAGGGGGAATGGCCCGACCTAAGACTACTCGTAAGAGTGGCACTTCGCCAGAGTGACCTTTGGTGTGGGCCCGCAGGGGTCCCCCAGCAGCGTTTTGCGCGCTGGCAGCGGGCCTCCCCGCGACCCCCAAAGCCGCGCACGTAAGGTCACTCGCCTGGGGTCACGCTTGGCGAGTCTGATCTCGGCCTGTTCGCACCTCTGGCGACGCGTGGGAACTCGGAGGGCACCAACACCAACACCGATCCTGGCCCAGGATCACCCTGGGCCCATGATCGGTGTATATGCCTTCTTGCCCAAGGCAGGAGGGCGTATACACCGATCCTGGGCCCAGGGTGATCCTGGCCAGGATCGGTGTTGGTGTATAGTTGGTGCCTTCCTAGGAACGCGAGCAGGAGGAGCAGAAAACGCCAGGACTCCCAGGTGGGACCTGGACCGCCGACGCATCGGCGATGCGGAGCCCGATGCTTTCCATCTCGACGTCGCCGGCGCAGCGCCGATGCAACGCCGACGCGGCGCACTCCGACGCGACGCAATGTGCTTCGGTCTTATCTGGGCGAAATCCAGAGAATGGGCTAGGCGGACGGGTGCGACTAGTAGGAGACGGTGATGTGCCGCGGGGGCGCCTCCCCCCAGGGCGCACAGCGCGAGGAGCGTCGCCAGCTTCGCGTCCGTGGAGGCGGTGCCGGCGACAGCCAGGATCGGAATTGCTTTCTTCTGCAGATCTCCCCTTCCTGACCATTGAAAGACAAACAGCACATGTTCCGGAGTTCCGAGCGGGACCCTTGGATCGGCGCTGGAACCTTGGCGCGTGGACCGCGCCAGGGAGGGGGGCCCAACGCCAGTCGAAGAACTTGTTGCGGACCTCCGAGGGTATATGCTCATGAATGTGTTGTTCCATGTATGTTTGCTAACGTGGATCTCAAACGTTGAGGTCGTGCACTCGGATGTGTAGCCCATTCGGTGCAATCGATGGGATACGATAAAATCAACTCCACTGCTCGCACGATCACTCCACTCTCATACCCGCAAACTTTTTTGGCACAACCCATGCAGCCGCGATTGCAGTGACTCCTTGGCACTGGCTGGTGCATCTTTGCGGCTGCGCTAGCACGCGCAAGCTCGCGCGCAGAGCGTCCAGCTTGTTTGGCAAAGCCGATGCCGTTGCGATGGCGCTTACCGATGGCGATTCCCCTTGCGCATCTCAAAGGCCGCGCTGGCGCGCAGGCATGTCAGTGCGTGTCGGTGACTCGGGTGGTATCATGATGACGCCGACTACGTCGGCAACAATGATGATAGTAGCGATGATGCTGGCGATGGTGACGACGACGCCGGTAATGACACTGACGGCGCCGATGTCTGCGACGACGGCGATGATGGTGTCCATGTGTCGGTGATGATGGTGGTTGGGTGATAAGGGCGGCAATGGTGGCGATTGGCGATGACGATGCACAGCGGTGATGGGGCGGCGATGATGGGGGTGATGGTGAGGAACTGCGCGCGCGGACATGCAAGACAGGTGGCGTGTCTATTGTCAGAAGACAGCGAACTGTCTTTGTTCATATGTGATTGAAGAACTGTATTTTGGAACGCTTCGGAAACCAACGGTGTTAGACGCATATTGGCCCGCGCGTGTGGCGACGTGCGTTTGTTGTCCGCATGGTGCTATTTGATATACGGATGTGTCCTTTGGGCGCATGTTGGGCCAAGCGGATGCAACGCGTTGTGGGGTGACCATGCAACGCGAGTTGGGACTCGGGAGTAATAATTCCGCCCCGGACCGTGACCAGTCGCGGTCCTGGTCCTGGTGCGGCGGCAATGGGACTCGGGAGTCATAGTTGCGCCCCGAGACCAGGACCGTGACCAGTCGCGGTCCTCGGCTGCATGATTGGGACTCGGGAGTAATATTGTCGCCCCGGGACAAGGACCGTGACTAGTCTCGGTCCTGGTCCTGGTCGGGCGGCATGATTGGGATTCGGGAATGTTTCATGCCGCCCCGAGACCAGGACGGTGGCCAGTCTTGGGCCTGGCCTAGCTTTGGTCGGGTGGCACTATTGGAACTCGGGAATCATAGTTCCGCCCCCGGACCAGGACCGTGACCCATCGCGGTCCTGGTCCTGGTGCGGAGGCATTATTCGTATTCGGGATGGAAAATGCTTCCCCGAGACCAGGACCGTGACCACTCGCGATCCTGGTCCTGGTTGGGCGGCACGAGCGGGATTCGGGAGTGTTTTAATGCCGCCCCGAGACCAACACCGTGGCCAGTCCTGGGCCTGGCCTTGGCCGGGCGGCACTACTGGGGCTCAGGAGTAGTAGTGCCACCCCGAGACCGGGGCCGTGACCAGTCGCAGTCCTGGTCCTGGTCGGGCGTTATCTTTCTGGCGTTCGGAAAGGGTAGTGTCGCCCCGAGGCCAGGACCGTGACCACTCGCGATCCTGGCCCTGGTCCGGCGGCATCAATGGGATTCGGAATTATTCATTCCGCCCAGAAGCCAGGACCGTGACCAGTCGCGGTCCTGTTCCTGGTGCGGCGGCATTCTGGGGATTCCATTCGGATGTTGCCGCGTGACCGTTACTGGTCCTGGTCACGGTGTTGGTCCTGGTGCCACTGTTAATGTATCCGAATAGTGCCGCCGCGATCGTGACTGGTCGTGATCCTGGTCTGCGGGCGGCATTATTGAATGTCGCCAGGGTAACGCATCCAGACCGAGACCGAGACCAGGACTGGTCGCGGTCGCGGTCTCGGGGCGGCAGTATTTGGAATCCGGAATAATGATAATGCCCACTGAGACCAAGATTGGGAGCTTATTGTCGGCCATTGCTTGCTCTCCCTCATCGGCGGGACCACACATCCACATCCACAGCCTCGCGGGCCTGGCCCCCGAGCCGCGGCGCCAGTTGTGCAGGGCATGTTTGTCGCGGACGCCCCGAGCGGAACGTCATCCATGCGACCGCGTACCCGCGGGATCGCGCCCCAGAATCTAGGCCGCAAGGGCGAGGACATGGATGTGTTCGCCGCTCGCGGCTCCCCCGCTCTCCGCCGCCCCCCTCCCTCCGCCCCACTGTCACGCCCGCTCCCATCCACCCCAGGGCCGCCACGGGCGCCGCCACTCCAGGGAGCAGGCGGCCCTCGATCCATGGAGGCGGCAGTGCTGGGCGGGGGCGAAGAGGAAGAGGGGGGAGGAGAACATGACGTGGAGGAGGAGGGGGAGGAGGAGGAGGAGAAGGATGAGGACGTAGAGGACGTTGAGGACGTGGAGGAGGAAGATGTAGAGCCGGAAGGGAAGGAGGAGGAAGAGGAGGAGGAGGACGAGGAGGAGGATAATGAGGTGGAGGCATGGGAGAACGAGGGGGAGGAGAACGAGGTAGAGGAGGGCCAGGAAAAGAGGCCTCACAGGCACGCGCGCGAGGATCGCACGAAGAGGGACAAGGAAGACAAGGAAGACTGGGCGGAGCGGAAGAAGCAGCCGCAGGCGTCGGAGCACCAGCAGCGGGCGGAGCAGCAGGAGCAACACTCGCAGACGATCGAAGCGCACTTGCACGCTCTTCTCTGCCTCCACCGTGGCAGGTGTGCACACCCGGGGTACCGAAACGAGGACCACCGTGGACTCTGGTGGGTGGGGCTCCGGTCTCCGGGCCGCTCCTCGGGTGCAGGTCGTGGGGCCTGTTCGTGGCCGGGTCTCGCCGTGGCCAGTGAGATCCCGGCGTTCCCTACGGCAGCACGACGTCCTCTCTGCTCGAGTGGCATGCGGCCCACCCCGCCACCGTGCCTGGGCTGCGGATGAGAGCCTGCTCGGATGTTCGTTTGGATCTCGTGGGAGGCCTCTCGGGGCCCTCCCGGAGGCAGGTTTGGCGCCTGCGGGCGGCTGCTTGGGGGCCTCTTTTTGGACCTCTTGGGGGCCTCTCTTGGGCGTCTGGGGGCCTCTTGGGGGGCTCTGGGGGCCTTCTGGCCGCCTTTTGGGCGCCCCTCGTGGCCGAGGGCTCGAGACGTTTGCTCGGGTCTCCCGTAAGGGCCCCCTCTTGGAGCCGTCTTGTGGGGCCTCTGGGGCTGTCCTGGAGGCCTCTTGGGGCGATCTCGGGGGCCTTCGAAGCCGTCTCGGAGCGTACGGAAGCCGAAGAGGCGAGCACGCCAAAATCAGTCAAACTCCATGGGACAATCAATTGTTCGCGCCTCTTCGGGCCCCCTTGAGAGGCCTCTTGGGGCGTCTTGGGCGCTTTTTCCGCCGAATGGAGGTCATCTTGCGCGACTTGGATGGATTGATTGGCGACTCTTGGACCGCCGAGGAGGAATCTGGACCTTCTTGGCCCGTCTTGGGGCCCTCGTGGGTACTGCGGGAAGACGCCTCAAGCCCCATGGCGCACGCAGGGGGTCCCAGAGACCACGCGGCGCACCCCAGAAGATGTTGCCACTTTGGGTCCAGGCCACTTAAAGGTCGTCAGGATTGAGGACAAGGCTGGATCTAAACGCTGTTTTGCTGGACTTCGGCAGTGTTTTTTTTGTTTCCCGTTTTGGGAGGGAGGTACATGAAAACAGGTAGAGCAAAACGAAGCCAACAAGGGACCTGAGGACACTCCGACTCGTGCCTCAAGAGCAGAGTGGCGTATATATACACACACACACACCTATATATATATATATATATATATAACCGTATCCATTTTGGCTCAAGCTGCACCAGCTTGAGTTGATCGTAAGTCTACATCCCGATCTACAGTGCCCACTTTGCGAACGTCCCTCTTATTGTGATCCTCTCAGCTGGGGCTGAGCCTATGGCGCAATGGACTCGGCCGTCTCGCGGGCACTCTTCTTCTTATTCTTCTCCGGCGCAGTCACCTTCTACCTCAGAGTGGAAGCGCGACCCCAGTGGTCACTGGCACTACATTGGAGCGCACGGCTCTGCCAGGAACCAGTCGTCGACCTCGACCGCGCGCTCCTGGACCTGCAGCCAGTGCCACCACGTGAACACGAGTCCGAAGGCGTGCCAGACATGCGGGCTCAAGCGCACGTACGGCGAGGTGGTCAAGAACGGCCCCAAACCTTCTACACCTCCCACGGCTGCACCCCAGCAGAACCCAGTGCGCGCGCAGCTGTCCACCATCACGGACACGCTGACCAAGCTCCACGAGTCACCTACTATTACTTCGCCTGCGGAGCGCTCGCTGGCGAAGTATCCCGTCCACTCCCAGGGCGACGTGCTGACCAAAGCCCAGCTCCAGGCCCGCGTCAAGCAGCTCGAGCATGTTCTGGCTACGATCCCCGAGGAGGACGATGCCGAGTTGGCTTCCGAGCGCATCTCGCTCACGACGCGCCTCGACGACTACAAGCGCCAGATCGTGGGCTCCAAGCCGATCGGCGCCCGCATCGACGGCACGAGGGCTGCGCTGGGACGTGCGCGGGCTCGCCGCGAGGAGGCCGAGCAGGCCCTCAAGGCGTCCACGCTTTTGGTCAAGCAGTCCACCGACGAGGTGACCGCTTTGGAGGCCGAGCTGAGCGAGCTCGAGGCGTCCCTGGCCGCTGATCCCATGGCGGCGGAGGCGTTTGCTCCAGCGTCCCACGCATTCGAGATCCTGAACCAGATGATCGAGCACTTGAAAAAGGACGAGCACGTCCACCCTGGCCACGTCCAGGCAGCGACGCAGCACGTCCAGCAGCTTTTCGAGGGCTTCCAGGCCACGCTGAACCAGGCCGTGGCCACTCGTGCTGCTGCCGCGGGGGTCCAGCCCACTCCTGCCGGCTACAGCGTGAAGGCGATGGCGACTGCGGCTGCGACGCCCGCGACAGTGCGCGGTCCTGCCGGCGGTTCTTTGGTGCGGCACCATGGCAAGCAGAAGCACAGGGAGCTGATCACCGATTACTTCACGAAGCGCAAGGTCGTGAAGTCCATCACCAAGGACACGTCGGCCAGCTCCGCCGCAGGCCGCCGCGCTGCTGGGTCGGCGGTGGGGTTTCCTGTGCCAGCGGATGGCCCAGGTCAGGAGCCCTAGGCGCCGTCTGCGCTTGTGCTGCGCCTGGCGCCGCGCCGCCAACTACCGTTTCAAGTACACCACCTTCATGTTCATGGTTGGGGGGGCTGCTTACCTCTCCTATTTCCGCCCCGCCTCCGGCACGACATGTGGTCCGGAGCTGCTGTCCACAGGCGGGCGCCACAGGCGTCCAGACCGTTACGTGCACTGCTACACGCACACCGCTGGCTGGCTTTCATGGCCCTCCCGCGGCTACCACGATGCGCAGTTCTCGCCGAGTTCCGCGCGCCGCCTCCGAGCAGACCACTGCCACCGGCAACGTCTGCACCTTCCGACCGCAGGAGGAATCCGCTGCTGGCGTCCAGGTCGCTTTCCAGCTCATGCTTGGGAAGGTCCAGATCCTCGAGCAGTATTTCATTGGCGCTCACCTCGACTACGTTTTCCTGCAGGAAGGGCGCGCTCGTGTCGAAGAGGTTCGCACGGGCCTCCACTACACCATGTATGTCGGGGCCGGCGACGACGACGGCGGCCACGGGTGCCAGATCTGGATTCGCGCCCGGTCGGGCTTCAAAGTCTCCTCGCACGCAGCGGTGTCCCCCCGTCTGTTCTGGTTGACAGGCCGCGACGCTTGCGGGTTGCCGCTGATCCTTGTCAGCGCGCGCGCCCCCACTGAGGCATCACCAGCCATTGAACGCGAGGGATTCTGGGACACGCTGCTGAGCACGATGTCCCCCCTGCAACGCCGCGCGCCCACCGCCAAGATCTCCATGGGCATCGATGCCAACGCACGTGTTGGCCCACGCCACTCTGGCGCGACGGTGCCGCGTGACCCTGAGGAGATCTCCCAGAACGGCGCTGCGCTGATCGCCACGCTCCAGGAACTCCAGCTGGCCGCCCTGAACACTCTCTTCAATGTCGGCTATACTTGGCGCTCTGGGAAGGGCCCCACGTCGCGGATAGATTACTTGTGCGGACCCTTAGTGGACCTCCCGGCCGTCCACAAAGTGTACGTCCCCGAGCGGGTTCAGCTGTCCATCACTACGCGCGAGGACCACCGCATGGTCGCTGCGCACATGACCGCCCCCACGCGCGGTGGCGACACTGTGGGCCCCCCCGCGCCGTTCCGCTTCAACAAGTGGCGCCTCGGTGACACCGCGTGCGCGCAGCAGGTCGCGCGACGCATGTCCGAGCTGCGTCTGTCGACGCATGGCGACATTGACGACAAGACCACGACCTTCATGGACCACGTCCGCTCCTCGGCACTGCAAGCCCTTGGCCGCCCGCAAGATCAACCCCGCCAGCCGTGGATATCTGGAGACACATGGCGGCTGCTCCGTACCCTGGCCCCGTCGCGCAGGACGATGTACCGGGCTCGTGCCGAGATCTTCAAGGCGCATTGCCACCTCGCCTTCCTGAGCTGGTCACCCCTGTGCCCCTCCGCGTTCTCGATGACTAACGCTCCCCCCACGCGATCGGGCTGGGCGGCCAAGTGCGCGCCCCCCTCCCTGCGAGCACTCCGGCAGCAGTGGCGCCTGCTGAACGCCGCCACCACCCGCCTCTGCAGCCAGCTCACAGCGTGAGTACGTCACTCCATCCACTTCGACCGCCAGCTCTTCCTCGAGACGAAGGCTCAGGAGGCGCAGCTGGCTGCCGTTCGCCGGGATTGGTGCACTACCTTTGGCGTCGTACGCGCGCTCAGTGGTCGGAGCGCCAGCTCCTCCACGCATCCAGTCCGCCTGGAGTCTGGAGCTCTGTCCAGCACCGAGGCGGAGCGGCAGGGGCGCTGGCAGGAACATTTCCGGGACGTCTTCAATGGCAAGCCGGTCACCATGGCCGAGCTGAAGCTCAAGCCGACGCCTCCGCCGGACCCCTTCACCAGCGGCATCGTCGTCCTCCCCGATGCCGCGGGCGCGTCGCTCCTCCAGCTTGGGCGCAACAAGGGGGCGGGCCGCGATGGCGCCCCCTCGGAGCTGCTGGCGGCCGGCGGCGACGCCGTCAACGAACCCCTGGCGTCCATCTTCCAGGACATCATCGACGGCGAGCGCTGGCCAACCTCCTGGACAGGCGGGCGCATGCAGAACGTATGCAAGAAGAAGGGGCCGCGCGAGGAGCGCGACGAGTCCTGCGGGATTGCCCTCGAGGACCACGCGGCCAAAGGCTTCAAGCAGCCCCTCAGTGGCCTCGTGACCCCCATGTGCAACGCCCACATGGGGCTGTTGCTGGCCGCGGCACCGACCTCGCTGCACACCTCGCCCGGTCTTCCTGCGACTACTGCACCACCAAGGGGCTCTCAGTCTCGTGCTTCGTCTGGTTCGTGGACCTTGTCAAGGCGTTTGACCGGGTCGTGCGCGAGATCGTTCTGGGCTGGCCCCACGCCGCCACAGACCCAGAGCAATATCTACGAGACCTTGGTCTCAGCGATCATCAGGCCCAGTGGATAGCTACTTGGGTTGCTCGCCGTGGATGCCTATTCGAGCAGTGGGGCGTGTCGCCGAAGGTGATCCGGCTGCTCAAGAACACGCGCGCGGCCTCGTGGTTCTCTTACGGCGATTGCGACACCACCGTCGCCACGCTGGTCGGCGGCCGTCAGGGCTGCAAATACGGCGCCACGGTATTCAACTGCACGTTCTCCCTGGCCATGGTCTTGATCCGGGATGCCGTGCTCGACGCTGGCATCATTCTGCGGCTGCCCAAAGGACGCGATGCGTTCTGGGCGCCGCCAGAGAGCGGCACCGACCACGCCGAAGACACCATGCTAGTGGTCGACGCCGCATTCGTCGACGACGAGTGCTTCATTCTGACGGCCCCCCGCGCGGCCGACCTCGACAGCGCGATCAACGCAATACTTACGGCAGTCTGCAATATTTACGAGAGCGTGAACTTGGCGATCAATTGAAAGCCTGGCAAATCGGAATGACTTTTGGTCTTTCGCGGCACTGGCGCCACTTCGTGCTTGGAGAAACGACGCGCCCAGCGCGGCGGTGGCCTTGCGACGGCGGTTCCTGGTCGCAACGCGCTCTTGCATGTCGTCCCTAAGCACACCCATCTCGGAGGCGCCCTGTGCTCCAATGGCTCGCTCGGCCCTGCTGCTCAGCATCTTCGCGGCGCGGCCATGAAGAGCTACGCCCCGCTTGCAACCAAGCTTTTCGGCAGCCCCGTGGCGTCCGACGCCCTCAAATTTTGGATGATGCAAAGCTTGACCCTGAGCCGGTTGATGCACAATGTCCACATCCTCGTGCCGACTCGACGGTTCACTCTCACTATCAACGCCGTGTACATGCGAGTTCTCCGGAGGATCGCCGGGGCGCCTCGCTTTGGGCGCAGTGTCCACGACGTCACGGTACGCGATCGTCTTGGGAGGGCGAGCATCGATTGCTTGATGATGCGCGCTCGCCTGCGGTATCTTGGCCGCTTGCTGCGGTCGCAGCCGTCGGCCCTGCTGGCGATGCTGAGCACGCGCCCCAAAGATCGACCGTTGCCTTGGGCACAGCTGCTGACCACGGACATGTTGAAGCTACGGTAGCTGGTTGCACTATGCTCGCACCCCCCTTGCCCCACAGCCGGCGCATCGACATGGACTGGGTTCATTTTGGCCTCTCCCGGGCGTTGGTCCAGTGCGGCGGGCGCCCTTCACTTCGTTGACTCGTGTTGCGATGCCGCCGCTGCCGCTCCAGCGTCTACGGCTGGCGGCACTCGCCCGCGCGTTTGCACGATTTGCGACAGCCGCTTCGCGTCTGCGAAGGCGCTGAGTCAGCATACGCGCATAAAGCATGGCCAGAAGTGCCTGCAACGATTTTGGGCGCCAGCTGATGCCACGCGCCTCGCTTGCGGCACTTCGTTCGGGAGCCGCCTCCGTCTCCTGTCTCACTTGTGCCATTCTCGCCGGCCCGAGTGCTGGAACGAAATTCGGGCAAACCGCAAGCGTTTCCCGCCACTCCCGGATTCTGTCGTCGAGAAGCTCGACTTAATGGATCAGGAGCTCCGTCGCGAGGCCCAGCGCGCGGGGCACTCCCATGCTTTGGCGAAAGGCCCGGCTCGCCGAGCTGACGGCTCAACCGTTGGCCGTGCTCGTCTGTAGCAGATGTGTTGGCGGCACCTGCCCCGCCATGCCTGTTGCTTTCGCTTTCACTGTATAGCTTCCCTGTTTGTTTCACTTGCTACGCTTCGCGCGCCACTCGGCGAATATATATATATATATATATATATATATATATATATATGATAGAGCACCCCGCAGATGCGGATAGGAGTGAGGGCGCGGTGGGGACGTCGGCAGTCTGCGAGGCCCTGGAGACGCCCGCCGCAGGCGCCAAAGTTTCGCAGATTATGCAACGAGCCCGCCGCAGGCGCGGTTTTGTTCGTTCAACCAATGTGGGTACGTCGCGGGTGGGTCGCAAATGGGTCGCAAATGGGTCGCAGGTGGGTCGCGGGTGGGTCGCGGGTGGGTCGCGGGGTGGGTCGCGGATGGGTCGCGGGTTGGTCGCGGCTGGGTCGCGGGGTGGTCGCGGGGTGGGTCGCGGCTGGGTCGCGGGGTGGGTCGCGGGGTAGGTCGCAGGTGGGTCGCAGGTGGGTCGCGGGGTGGGTCGCGGATGGGTCGAGGGTTGGGTCGCGGGTGGGTCGCGGGGTGGGTCGCGGGTTGGGTCGCGGGGTTGGGTCGCGGGTGGGTCGCGGTGGGGAACGCGGGTGGGTCGCGGGGTGGGACGACGACAACAAACAAGCAAACAAACAAACAAACAAACAAACAACAACAACAACAACAACAACAACGCAACAACGCAACAAGCATAATCCTCACCACGGATCCCCACTTCAGCCGCTCACCTCAGGACAATGAATGACCGTTCGCCCCCTCGCTCTAACAACGAGCCGGCCGCAGGCGCGGATTTGCTCGTTAAACGGATGTGGGTACGTCGCGGGTGCGTCGCACATGGGTCGCAAATGGGTCGCAAATGGGTCGTTGTTGGGTCGCTGGTGGGTCGCGGGGTGGGTCGCGGGTGGGTCGCAAGTGGGTCGCGGGTGGGTCGCGGGGTGGGTCGCACATGGGTCGCAGGTGGAGCGCGGGGTGGGTCGGAAGTGGGTCGCGGGGTGGGTCGCGGGTGGGTCGCGGGTGGGTCGCGGGTGGGTCGCGGGTGGGTCGCGGGTTGGGTCGCGGGTGGGTCGCGGGATGGGTCGCGGGGTGGGTCGCGGGGTGGGTCGCGGGGTGGTTCGCGGGGTGGGTCGCGGGGTGGGTCGCGGGTGGGTCGCGAGTGGGACGACGACAAACAACAACAACAACAACAACAACAACAACAATAACAGCAACAACAACAACAACAACAAACACAACAACAGCAACAACAACAACAACGCAACAACGCAACAAACATAATCCTCACTGCGGTTCCCCACTTCACCCACGCACCCGTTGGCAATGAATGACCGTTCGGCCCCCTCACTCTGATATACATGTTTGTGCATATACATGTACATGTATATGTATACACACATATATATATATGTGTGTGTCTACATATATATATATGTGTGTATGTATATATAAATATATATAAAAACATATATCCATGAAAGTATATCCGTCGGGAACTTTGTGGGTTTGCGTGGGCCCCCGGCTCCCCGAGCCCCCCGGAGAACCCGAAGGCGCCTGGAGGGCCCCGAAACGGCACTGGAGCTCCCCAGAAGAGCCCCGAGACGGCCCAAAGAGGCCCCGAGGCGACCAAAGACAGCCCCGAGATGGCCCAAGACCGCCCTCAGACGGCCTACGATAGACGGCCCCATAGGCCACCAAGACGCCCCAGGACGGCTCCGAGGGGACACTCGGGGGGCCCGAGAGACTTTCCGTGGGTTTCCTACGGGTTCTGAGATTCTCGCGCTCTCGACCGTCTGGACCCCCAAGACGGCCCAAGAGGCCTCCAGGATCGCCCCGAGACGGCCCAAGAGGAGCCCAAGAAAGCACCAAGACAGCCCCAGAGGGGCCCAAGGGGGGCCCAAGAGGCCCCCAAGACGGCCCAGTAGACCCCCTATGCCGCCCCCAAGACAGCCCAACAAGCTCCCAAGAGGCCACCAAGACAGGCCAGGGCCCCGAGCCTGCCCATAAGGGCCCCAAGACGGCCCTGATGCTGTCAAGACAGCCCCAGAGGGCTTCACGCGCCCGAAAAGAGCCCAAGGAGGACCCCCAAGAGGGCTTGAAGAGTCGAAAATCATCGATTCCACGTTGGTTGTCGATCGCACACCGCAGCTTGCTGGCATTTGCGCGCCGGAAACAGAAGCGCGCGTCGGCAAATCTGGACTCACGCAGCTCCGTAGATTTAATCCACGGGCCCACACTAGTGTGTGTATATATATGTATATTATATGTTATATATATATATATATATATATATATATATATATATATATATATATTATATATATATTATCATATATATATATATATGCATATCTATCTATATATATAGAGAGAGAGAGAGAGAGTGAGATCCCTGGGGGCAGGACCGAGGCCCACAAACAGGTGCCCCGACCCCTCATGGGAGGACGGGGCGGCCGGGGAGGTCCAAGAAGTCCAGGAGGGCCTCCAGAGGCTCCCCAGACTATATTTGCGAAAGCTGGAGTCAAACCGTCGCTACAGCGACGCGCCGAATCGCTCAATGCCTGCGGCCCCATAATGAACAGCAGCGTGCTCGAGAATAAGAACATAACATAGCATCGATTCAACAATTAATCTCGCTCAAAAGTCGGCTGGCCCAAGCGGGCCCCGAGTCGCCGAAAGACCGCTCCAGGACGCTCAAGATAGGCCCAAGACGGCCCGAGAGGCCCCCCAAGGCACTCCACGACGCTTCAAGACGCCTCTCCAGAGCACTTCAAGAGGCCGACATCGTCAATTTTACGACATATTTTGAACGATCTTGGCTTTCCAGCCTTTAAGGCTGTTCGATGCTCCAAGACGGCTCAATCGGCCCCCAAGAGCGCCCCAAGACGGCCCAAGAGGGCCCCACGACGGCCCCAGAGGCGCCCGAGAGAGCCCCAAGACGGCCCCAAGATGCGCCCAAGAGGGGGACGACTGCAAAATTCGACCCTCCCGCTTGAAGAGTGCCCCAGGAGGCCCCAAGGAGCCCCCAAGAGGCCCCAGGAGGCCCCCTGAGAGGCACCCAGGAGGCCCAAGCAAGGCCTCATGAGGCCACAAAACAGCCCCGAGGAGGCCCCACGACGGTTCCAAAACGGCTACCGAGAAGCTTCCATCAGGCCCCTCCAGGCTCGCAGAGACAGGCGGGCCCCCCCAGCCGCATGACTTGGTCGGTCCTCGGGTCGCGGCGTGTCGTGCCGCCACGACCGCGCTCCCTCGGCGGGCCGATCCCCCTCTTCCTCCCCTTCCTTTTCCTCCTCCTCCTCCTGCTCCTCCTCCTCCTCCGCCTCCGCCTCCGCCTGCTCCTCCTCATCTTCCTCCTCCTCCTCCTCCTCCTCCTCTCCCACCTCCTCCTCCTCCTCCTCCTCCTCCTCCTCCTCCTCCTCCTCCTCCTCCACCTCCTCCTCCTCCTCCTCCTCCTCCTCCTCCTCCTCCTCCTCCTCCTTTTCCTCTTCTCCCTCCTCCTACGCCTCCTCCTCCTCCTCCTCCTCCTCCTCTGCCTCCTGTTCCTCCTCTTCCGTCCAGGAAGTTCTCAGGATGAAGTGCCGTCCCCAGGGAAAGGGTCGGGACTTCGGGGGCCGCGTATTGACGAAATCAGGACGTCGCATGTCTGTGCTATCCACGTCCCAGTTCCCGCCCGTCAGCGTCCCGAGATCTCCGAAGCAAACCGCCCCGCGGATCGCAGCGACATGCTATCCACTCGCGTGGGCCGTAGCGTGTCGCCAGGGCCGCCGTCGCGACATGCGAAAGAAACGTTCCCGGCCGTAGCCTCTGAG